CAAGAGGTGTTCAACGGCGACCTAGGCAAGTACCGGGGGTCCCCAATCTCTTTTAACTTAAACCCTAACGTTGCCCCAATCCGCCTTAAACCGCGGCGGGTGCCATTCACGCTCAAACCCAAAATCGATGAGAAATTGGACAAGCTCATCGCGCAAGGGGTCTTAGAGCCAATTGACCATGCCCGGTGGGAGACACCCATAGTCACCCCGATCAAGCCAGATGGGTCAGTCAGGATCTGTGGTGACTACAAGGCCACCCTCAACCATGCGTTGCAGCTGAGTGCCTATCCCGTCCCCGTGGTACAGCACCTTCTGCACTCACTGAGGGGAGGTAAGGTCTTCGCAAAACTCGATTTGGCGCAAGCATATCAGCAACTGCCAGTCGATGCCGAGACCGCGGAGGCGCAAACCATCGTCACCCACCGAGGGGCATACCGATGCAAGAGACTCCAATTCGGAGTCAGCGTGGCACCCGGGGTCTTTCAGAGCCTGATGGAAAGACTCTTGCTAGGAATAAAAGGGGTGGTTCCCTATTTCGACGATGTACTGGTGTCAGCTACAAATAAAACCCAATTGGAAAGCTGCCTAAGGGAGGTCTTACAAAAATTCAAAGACACCGGACTAAAAGTTAAAAAGGAAAAATGTCAACTTTGCACTGAGAAAGTTGAATTCCTAGGGTACCTCCTAGACAAAAATGGAATCCACCCCACGGAAAAAAAGCTCAAAGCCATCAGAGAAGCTCCTAGACCTAGGAATAAGACTGAACTGCAGGCTTTTCTCGGCCTCATTAACTTTTACAATGTTTTCCTGCCCCAGAAGGCGACGGTAGTGGAACCCCTCCATAGGCTGCTGGACAAAACAGACGCCTGGGCCTGGGGGAAGCGGGAGGAGAATGCATTCAAACAGACAAAAAGCCTGCTAACATCAGATGCAGTTCTCATCCAATACAGCGAGACTCTGCCATTATCCGTGACCTGCGACGCGTCCCCCTTTGGTGTCGGAGCCATTCTCAGCCACACGTTGCCAGATGGAAGAGAAGCACCCATCGCTTTCTTCTCGAGGACACTATCCAAGCCGGAGAGAAACTACAGCCAACTGGACAAGGAGGCCCTAGCAGTCATCGCCGGAGTGAAAAGGTTCCATGAATACCTACACGGTAGGACCTTTTCAATCATCACCGATCACAAGCCGCTGCTGGGGATACTGGCCGGGAACAAGGCCACCCCGAACATTCTGTCACCCAGGATGACAAGGTGGTCCGAGTTCCTTGCCGCCTACTCCTACCAGTTGACACACCGACCCAGCAAGAACATCTCGCATGGAGACGCGTTGAGCCGTTCCCCCCTGCCCGACCTGGAGGACGACCCGGCACCCACAACATCAGCCCTGCACATAGAGACGGTACCCAACCCACTCTTGACCACGTCAGACATTGCCAGAGAAACCAATAAAGACAAACGGCTGGCGCGAGTCTTGAGCTGGGTTGGAAAAGGGTGGCCGGAAAGCAACGGCGGCAAACAATTCAAACCTTTCCAGAACCGGCAAACTGAACTCTTTACGCAAAAAGGCTGCATACTTTGGGGGACAGGGTTGTGATTCCAGAAACTCTACAAAAATGGCTATTGTCTACGTTGCATGAGGGGCACCTGGGCATAGTTAGAATGAAAGCCCTGGCCAGGAGTTACGCCTGGTGGCCAGGAATGGACAAACAGATCGAGACTTGGGTAGCCACATGCAAACAATGCCAGGAAACCAGACCAAGCCCACCCGCCGCCCCAATCCTGGAATGGGAAACGCCCAGGGGTCCCTGGTCTAGAATCCATATAGATTTCGCCGGGCCTACCAAGGGACACACATTCCTGATTGTAGTCGATGCTTACTCCAACTGGCTGGAGGTAAGCACTATGAAAACCACAACCACAGAGGCAGTCATCAAGAAACTCAACAAATTATTCACCACCCATGGGTTACCAGATGTGCTAGTGTAGGACAACGGGCCACAATTTACCGCACTAGCCTTTGAAAAATTCCTGGCGGAACGGGGCATACGGCATGCGTTAACGGCGCCCACTCATCCGGCGGCGAACGGGCGGGCGGAATGCATGGTTTGTTTCACAAAAAATACCATACAGAAAATTGAAACCGGGGACATACAAGAAAAAATAAATAAAATGCTTTTAATACAACATATAACTCCCAACACAACGACAAACAAAAGCCCAGCAGAATTACTCATGGGCAGAAAACTAAGATCCCCGTTAGACAGGCTACACCCCACATACAACCCCGAGAAACCCCCAGACTCATCAAGCAAACTCCGCACATTCAACATAGGAGATGCCGTCTATGCCAAAAGCTTCACAGGGAACCCACTCTGGGTACCGGCCAAAATAACCCAGGGAACGGGGCCCCGGTCTTACCGACTACAAACCATAGACGGATGAAGCTGGAAGTGGCATATCGACCAACTAAGGTCAAGAACAGCTACTGACAACACGCAAATACCGCAAAAAACCACTAATAAAGAAACTAGAGGGGGGGAGAAACCTCAAACAAAAAACAAAATAGGGAAGAAAATCCTAAAACGCAAACCGAACACCCCCAAGCCAAAATAAACCAGCAATACTCACCGGTAGACGACGAACCCGAAACAGACGAGCAGCCGGGAGCTTCACCTGGAAGGAGCAGCCAAGCCAGTTCAACCAACCCGGAAAGACCAGGCGGGAACAGCAGAATCGGCAGCTCAACCGACCCGGGTAGACCAGGTGGGAGCTACCGCAATAGGCCCGGCTCACCCTTCCAGGCGGTTCCATCCAAGAGAACCGGAACGACGAGGAGCCCATCCGAACCGGTTGAGGACCAAGCAGCAACTGACCTGCGCAGGTTAACTAGACAGGTATGAAGCCCCGCCTACCTGCGCGACTACGTAACCACGCTCCGTCGGACCGAACCAAGAGGGGAGGGGTGTTCTATATCAGCATACTCCAAATACTGAATACTGATTGGTCCACACGGACCACGACCCGATTGGTCAACTGAACGGCCGTGATTGGCGCGCTAAGAATCAACCGCGATTGGCCGAGCCGATCGCGGGAGATTCAAAGCCCTGTCATTGGCCGCCAAGCCACAAGCAATCCCTATATGAAGGGCTGCCGCGGCTCCAAGATCTTGTACAGGTCTTAACACTGAAATAAAGAGCTGAATGTACACTTTGGTCTCGCGTCTCTGTGGGAACCGATCTACCCGATCTAACAGTTACTATCCTCATAAATCTGCTATACCCAATATTCTACAAGCATTCCCTGGAGGTTCACGATGGGGTTTCTCTAAAGTATAGATTGCCTATAAAAATATTTTAAATACATGGAACATCCACAATAATCAATGAAATAGAATAGAATGGAATGGAATAATAGAGTTGGAAGGGACCTTGGAGGTCTTCTAATCCAACCCTCTGCTAGGTAGGAAACCCTATACCATTTCAGACAAATGGTTGTCCAATCTTTTATTTAAAAACCCCAATATTGGAGCATTCATAACTTCTGGAAGCAATTTGTTCCATTGATTAATTGTTTGGTCAGAAAATTTCTCCTTAGTTCTAGGTTGCTTCTCTCCTTGATTAGTTTCCACCCATTCTTTCTTGTTCTGCCCTTAGGTGCTTTGGAGAATAGCTTGACTCCCTCATCTTTCTGGCAGTTCCTGAGATATTAGAACACTGCTAACATGTCACTCCTAGTCCCTCTTTTCGTAAGACTAGACATACCCAGTTCCAGCAACCATTCTTTAATCATCCAAGTAGGCACATACACACATATCATCTCAGGGTGGGGAAGACCAAGAGGCCCAAGGTGTCATGCCTCCATCGGAGCCTGAATCTGCAGGGGAAGATGAAATGGAATAGGAGCTGACAGAGATTGAGGGGGTAGCTCCTTTTAAAAATGTTTCCTTAAATAAATATGTACTTTCTAGTCTGGATTATTGTCTATTGAAAAATTAGAACCAACCCAGCCACATAGAACAAGTGTTGGAATCCAGTGGATTACACACATATACATACACACAAAAGCAAAACAGCTGGTAAGAGTACAATTAAGGATTTTCTTTATTCATTGCTTTGAAATATCAGCTTTCAAATGGAAAAGAAGCTGAATATTTCTTTAAATATAGTTAGAAAACTATATAACTATAGTTAAATATAGTTAGAAAACTATCATTATATAACTATAACCAGAAAATGTTTTTGTGTATGTACTATAATCAGTTTATCAATACCTGCTTAAATTAGACAAAAATGATATCCAAAAATATTATTAGTAAGCTAAACATGGCAGGGTATTCACACAATCAAATCACTAAGAGATTTTTTTTTTCATAAAGCCTTGCAAATGTGTAAATATGCTTATCTGAACCATATGCAGGACTGGAATATATGGACTCAGTTATTCATTCTGGTTAGCCAAAATGGTTTCAGCCTAAATTTCCCTTTTAAACTCTTCTTAGTCTAATGATTTAAAATATATCTCATTTTCCTTATAATTTTAAAAGCGCGCACATTTTGGAAAGGAGGCCATTTTATGGGCAGTTTCACAGAATGGATAATATAGAGTGGAATACAGCAGTATTTCTCCATCTCAGTAGACTTCAACTCCCAGAATTCCTCAGCTAATGTTTTCACCAGAAAAGAAGGGGGGGAAAAGTAAGCTCTCCCTAGTAAACTCTCCCTTTTTCTTGAATGCTCCCTAATCCCCTCCATTTATCTTTCTCCTTTGTGGGGCGTGGGTGCGGGGTTACTCAGGACTACAGCTACAGACCTGTTTATTTTTCAAACTCTATCTCTTTCCCTCATCTAATTCTTCCGACAGTATCTCTCACACTGGCTTTGCCACAAAGGCCGGATGTCTTTCAAGGGAGGTGATAATCCGGGCAGTTCGGTTTTAAGTTGTCAGGAGTTTAAAGATTTAGAGCTTTCGGTTTTATATCTTTTCTGGCGTTTGCCACTAACGCTTCATTTGCCACTAACGCGTCATCTGTAAAAAGGGAGCTTTCCGCGTCATCCTATTCCATCCCGCCTTTTCCATTTACCAGGCGGGCACTCTAAGGCTTTCCCGCCAAACTTCAGAAAACTTGAGCTAAGCTAATACCACCATCGCATCGCGCCTGGAAGTGTTTTTGCTCCAAGGTAAATGCTGGGAGATGTGGGAGATTAGGGAAGGGTTCGATTATGCTCCAGTTTTGCGAGATTCTAGATTCTAAATGCAATCGCTCATTCCTCATATGTTTTGGCCTCCAATCCCCCAGTCATCTTTGTTGCTCTTCTCTGCACTCTTTTCGCAACTTCTTTGTCTCAGGATAATGTTGCAAGATATCAAATCTGAGTCGATCGCCAGGATCAGAGATTTACTCTTCTGAGTTTCAGACTCATGCAAGAGCCATCTTCAGGAAAATTCGGTCTACTGGAATAGGTGCTTTGGGCTGTTCTGTGGGTTATATTTATGTGATGCCTTTCTACTGGCTGATTGGTATATTAGTAGCTGGCAATTGGTTGTTGTTTCCTTATGCTGCCAACATCACACATATCACTCCAGTATGTAAGTTGCTAGGGTTTACTGATTTATTGTCACAGATGTTCTTGATAATGACTCTTATTTGGTGAAATGTTGCATTTGGGAACATTTTCTCCAAACTTTTATTTTTGTGCAGTACAATGGATAATTAAAACCCTTTTTCTGCCAACCTAACTGCTTTTTTCCCCCAGGAGTCTGGTGAATCAGGGCATTCATTGTTTTATCTTTCCAAAAATCAATGAGTTCTTGCTGTGCATTTGATGATCTTATAATGTGATTATTATATGGTATGTAACTGCTATTTTTGCCTGAAAACAAATGGTTGTTGTCTAAGCCCTTACAGACGAAAAGTTAGTGAAGAAAGATAAACGTGATCTAGAGCTTAAAGTAAAAAAGGAACATTAGGAAAATTAATAAGTAATTATATAGTGTGGACATATCATAAAGTAATCTCTAAAAATCTTGAAACCTATATGCAAACTTAAAATTTTCAACAACAAATTGTTCAAGGTTATTTAACTTTTTTAATTAATTTGTTACTAAATGCTACAAATGCTGGAGACATTATTGAGTATTTCAAATGAGCATTCCATGAAATCTGATAGCCAATCCAATCAATTATGGCCTTGGTAGTATAAATAATGTCCACAGCTGGTTTGAAAACTACTTAATTCATAAAACGTAAAGGATATGTTGGGCAAGTGCTATACAGCAGGGGTCCCCAAACTTGGTAAATTTAATACTTGTAGACTTCAACTCCCAAAATTCTCCAACCAGCATAGCTAGTATTTTTTTAAAAAATCTTCCAGAGTTACTGCCAAATTGTATTTTTAATGTGATTAAATAGAACTATTGAATATTAAAGAGTAGTGTTAACTTTAAGTAAGCTATATACATAGACTAAATAAAATTTAGTGTTATCTAATATTTATAAGAGTGCTACTTCAGTCAAAGACTTTGAAAAAGTTGTGCATTCTAGGTGAACTTGAACTCAATTAACTGTTAGTAGTGACAGCATTATTCTCTTTGCCCCATTCCTCAAATTCCTCTCCAGGTCTGTCTACAAACACCATATAGAATTTTAAGAAACATGGCAGAAGATCATAAAAAATTCATGTTGAATATCCTTGAAGACCTGACAAAGGATGACATGAGCAAATTAGGAACAATACTGAACAGCAAAAAAATAGAAGGGCGTGAAATCCCCTCAAATAAGCTACAGAATCTTGATGAAAAAAAGGCAACACTATTATTTATATCCCATTATGAAGAACCTCTAAAAGCACTTGAGCAGAGCCTCTGTGATATTCCCAGAATAGATCTTGTTCAAAAGGTCCGTCTTAAAATTGAAACTGGTAAGTTGAGTGATGTTTGTGTATTTTCAAATGAGAGTAACCCACATTAATTTATTGAATTTTTACACTTCATGATTCTTTAGTGATCCTATGCAGTGCACAGATCCAAACACACAGAACACTAAAACTGCTGTGTACAATGATAAAAAGATAATGAACAAAAGATGGCACAAGATAGCAAAAGCATATAGTCATAAATTTGTACAGTGTTATTTCTACTTACTATGTAAGTGATCAGATAAGAGAATTGCACATTGTTTTCACGGCTTCTTCATTTATTTAATGTCCATGCTCTATTTTTCATCCAGAAAGACTTAAGAGTAACTTATAGAATAATGAGAAGTCTCTATTTTCACAGTCATAAGGACTTTGTGGCCATTTGTATTCATAAGATGTGGGGGGGGGGGAGGTGATTGATAGCATGCATTGGTGTGTACATCACAACAATTCGCACCTCCTAAAACACATTTTTCCTCGGATTATGTGTAAATTTTTTAGGGAGTTGCAATATGTGAGCTCCCCGCTTTTCCCCTTTGGATTCAGATTGTTGCATAGCCCTAATGCTTACTATTTAAAATGACAACACAGTGAAGGAATGATGGGGTGGGAAGAGATTATGAAAACAATAGGCACCAATTCTTAATGTTTTATATACTCTTATAATGACTAGCTATGATGGAAATGATGCGTAGTACATAGAAGATAGTAGATGAAGTGTCTAAAGCACGTGATACTCCATAATTGGTTTATTTCTAAATATAAAAGTTTATGATACTGAGAGTAGAATTTATTATATTATTATTCAAACCAAATATTTTACATTACAAAATTTTATCAATGATGCAGTTATTTTGCAAGATGAGTTGTTTCTCTCAAAGTCCTCTCGGAGCAGAAGTCAAACTGTTAAATGCTCTCAGTTGTTACGCAGCAGATTTCACAGACACCTACTTTTAGAAATAGCGACCTTTCCACAAATAAGTTAGGGCAACAACTGCAATTCTGAAGGCATAGGTTGCTTAACCTTGGTCCAGTGAAGGCCTAAGGGAGGTTAAGGGAAGGTGAGGTACTTTAATACTAACTTACAAAAGAGTCTTAAGTAAATTGCATTATTATTATTTAAATGGAAGCTTTTTGCAACAGATAAATGGAAGCTTGCCAGAAATAAACCACAAATGTGAATCAGCTTTGTTACTTGCTAAAAAGAACTGAAGGTAAAGAGACCACTTAGAGGAAGTTTGATGACAGGATGCGGTCTAAAAACAATTCTGTTGCAAGAGGGCCGTTACTTAGAGGTAATTTAACTGATTTTAGCTTACAGGGCAGGGGTCCAGAAATGAACAAAAGTTCATCAATAATATACTAAAAACTCAATCCTTGTATTTAAATGAGCAACTTAGAAATCATGCTAAGAGTATTTTGGAGCACATGTGAGTGTGTGCATAATCAGCATGCCCAGGACATGTTAGATAACCAATGAGTGAGGTTGTAACTATGTGCTTTTCTGTGTGTCTGTGTGTGTGTGTGTGTGTGTGTGTGTGTGTGTACACATACACATCCCTGATGTCTAGCTAAGGGCTCAAGGGCTGAATTTTGCCAAGGACTATAAGTTACATGATTCTTGTTCTGCTTATTACGCTCTGGATGGGTATAAAGCAGACAGAGCAACTCCACAAAGCATCCATACAAAGTCTTTTTTATTGGTTCATCAGATATCCTATCAATTCACATTTATGATGAGGTTCTTCTTAATGTCCAATCCTTTGCATATCTGAATTGTGGTGTAAAAAAATAAAGTCTCATCCCCATAATGATTGAAGTGGCTGCATGGTATGGTGGAATCAGGCAAGAGGGAGGGAGCCTCCCCCAACCCAACAAGGGTCAATTTACTGACCAATCAGGATTACAGATGTGGCCACATGACATGAACTACATTTCCCAGGATACCTCAACTATATTTACCATGATGCATTCCCTTAAGGGGACAGCTCTCAAATCCTAACTAACTATCCCAAATCCCATTAACTCTAAACTGTCTGGACAGCACACTCCCCGCCTGGAATTGTAAATTCCACTAACTAAGTAAAGAGCAATACTAACTGAATAGCAGATAACTATGTAACTAAAATAAACAGTCAGCTATATAACTAAAGGAAACAGTAAATAGCAATAAAGCATCAAACAAAGCAAAGCATACAAAGCTTGAGATTCAATCTTCAAGTTCAGCCTTTCTCCATAGCAACACTAGGTCGGTGACCTGTCAGGTGTAGAGCTTCTTGGTGCAAGTCTGCTGATCACCTCTGGCAGCCTTTTAGGGTGGACAGGTACTCTTGGTGCTAATGGTGAAAGTCTGGTGGTCGCTTCTGGCGGCCTTTTAGGGTTGGAGCGGTACTCTTGCTTCCACGGTGTCGGGAAGCTGTTGGAAAGGGTGTTGCGGAGGTATATGCTTGTGTAGAGCGTCTTAGTGGAAGTCTGGTGGTTGCTGGAGGCCGTTTGGGGTGTCCTAGCAAAATGTACTGGTCGCCGGTGGCCTTTTAGGATGGAACGGCATTCTTGTTCTCGATGGTGTTAAAGGGCGTCGGAAGACTGTTGGAATGGATGATGCTAAGGCATCTGCCTGGGTTGGGGCCTGCATTTGATCGACACTGACAAGTCCTGAGATTCCCCAACCCAGGTCTGTGTTGAAGGCAAAGGGTAAGTATCTCAGGCTTCTGACTACCTCAGTGTGCGCAAAGGCGTCAGGGGCATCGAATCCCAACAAGAGCAAAATCTTGGCTTCAGGATCTAGGGCGGGAAATAGATGAGCCATATGCTTCATGTGACGTATTTTGCTGGCTGCAGTCATTGGTATCGTATTCTATTCCAACACAGGCGGCAGTAGGAACTGGGAACTTCCATCTAATGACTCTATACTGAGTCCAGTAGCTTCCCTCCCTGCCGTGCGTCTTGGTGAGGTGCACATTGATATCGTGAAGTGCACTTCTTCCTTCTGAACATCAAAGAGGTCAAAGAATGCGGACCTGGCTAGTGAGCGATCACTCTGAGGATCCAGTATTACATACATCTTCACTGCTTTTTCTGGCGTCCATCTGGGTAGACTTTGGCAAAGCAGATCTGACAACATGAGTGAGGGGCTGGTGTGCCATCGCACACCGCTATGCAATTGACACACCACTGGCTCTGGGTGTGCTTCTATAGCACGTTGAGGCTCCTTGTTCAAAGGAGGGCTACGAGATGTCTGCAGTGGTGGATCAGCATCTGGTTGCAGTGCAGTCGGATGCATGTCACTTTTGCAGATATGACATTGCACTTTGGTTGTGCAGTGTTTGGGCAAGTGTTTGAATTCGCAACACTTGTTGCAGAATTGGAGCTCTTTTATCAACTCTTTCCTTTTGGTCTGGGATTTCACTGCGAACCCCTGGCAATTGTTCAGCAAGTGTCGAGTGTGTTGCAAAGGACAAAACTGGCTTCTCTTTGGAGTCGGAGATCTAAATTGGGTTGCATCTGATGAGTCCTCTCCCGAACTGTTTATGGAGGAGGTTGCAACTTCTGTGTCATGTGTGTTATTGTGGTTGTGATCTGTAGCGATTTGCAGCACATTCTGGAGAGGTGCAAAGTTTCGGTTGTGTTCTTTATTAGTTGGGAAGAATCTGCGTCTGAAGTGGAGGTTTCTGAAGCTGTTGCAGGACTCTGTTTGCCCGACAACAAATTCTTGGAGAAGGGCAAAAGGTGGTTCTCATTTGCGGTTTGCGGCCAGAAAGGCATCAGGCAAAACAATCCATCATTCTAATATTTCTTTTGGGAGTTTGGCGATGATTGCTTCTTGCGTTATGAAGAGATCAAGGCAACCCAATCCTGGTAAATCAGAACATTCTTTGGCTGTTTGCAGCTCCATAAGGATGTTGGAGAAGGTCTCTAGTCTTCGGGTTTGATGGATGGCGATACATGGGAAACTGTTAAGTCATTCTAGGAGCGAGTATTCCATCAATGCGTCCTCGCCATATTTCCGGTCCAAAGCATCCCACGTTCGTTTGTATGCCTGTGTCGTTAAGTATGCCTTAACGACACAGTGTTTCACTATGTAACTAGACCATGGTTTTAGCCATGCCAACAGAAATTTAAGATCTTCACCGGAAAGCAGCTGTTCACGTTGAATGGTACTTGTGAAAATGTTTTTCCACAGTAGGTATTCTCTGCCTGGCTTGTCGTTGAATTTGTACACACCACTAGCTGCTAAGTCTAACCTTCCACACCTTAGTGATGGTTCTCTGTTACTTCTCTCTGAGGGGAGGTCATCTCTTCATATGACGTCCTCTATGACCTCCTTTTAAGTTAGCAGAGGTGTAACCTGAGACAGAGAAGCTTCTCTTGATGAAGAGAGGGGAGGAGGGATTTGCCCCTTCCTGCATCCACGATGAGGTTAGAGGTACAAAGGAATAGCATGCATATTTACTCCTGGCTTTAAAATATCTTTGTCTTTATCACAAAATTCAAATTACTTTTGCTTCACTCTACTTCTTCCAGGAATCAAGATTTATTATCTTTCTACTGCTTATTACGCTCTGGATGGGTATAAAGCAGACAGAGCAACTCCACAAAGCATCCATACAAAGTCTTTTTTATTGGTTCATCAGGCATCCTATCAACTCACATTTATGACAAGGTTCTTCTTAATGTCCAATCCTTTGCATATCTGAATTGTGGTGTAGAAAGATAATAAAGTCTCATCCCCATGATGATTGAAGTGGCTGCATGGTATGGTGGATTCAGGCAAGAGGGAGGGAGCCTCTCCCAACCCAACAAGGGTCAATTTAGTGACTAATCAGGATTACAGATGTGGCCACATAACATGAACTACATTTCCCAGGATACCTTAATGACATTTACCATAATGCATTCCCTTAAGGGGACAGCTCTCAAATCCTAACTATCCCAAATCCCATTAACTCTAAACTGTCTGGACAGCACAATTCCTTTTAACAAAGATTATATAGATATTGAAAGGCAAATTAATATAATGGTTAATGGAATCAGGCCATCAGGAGACAATGAACCTTAAGCAAAAGGCAGGCTGGGTGACTTTGGACCAAGGGCTCTCGTTCCAGGAACAAGGAAATGGCAAACAACTTCTGAAAATCTGCATGGACTTGACAAGGCAGCAACAAAATAGCTGAGTATTCCAGCTGACTAACTATTTGTCTATCAAAATATGAGATTGAATAATTCTAAAAACTGCATGACATTTTGGAACAATTTATTTAATAAATGCTCATGGCAATTCACATTCATAAAAGACATTAAAACAAAAAAAATTGATATGTCAATTTTAGTATAGACAAATAAAAATAGCAATAAGTATAACATTATGAACAGTTCTACTCCAGCTACTGTGTACAATTCCAAATACTTATTTTTAATGCATTAGAGTCTAAGGCATTGAAGCATTATCAGTTGTACATGTGATGATTATTGAACAATGATATATACACACACGTTTGGCAGATGGTTTGATTAACAAAATTAAAAAGTGATGTAAACAAAGGTATTGGTTAAGAGAATTGTTTTTAACTGTTTGAAGATAATTCTATTAACTTCCCAAACAAACAAGACATATATATATATATGTGTGTGTGTGTGTATATATATATATATATATATATATATTTGTTTTCTTAAGTTTTCGCGGGTACTTACATGTATGGTGTTCGGCTTGGTTCGGGTATTTTCCCACGTCATTGTATATTATATTATATATAATTTTTGTATATCCAAAGTTTCCCCAAAAGTGCTTTCCAAAAAACAACTGACTTTCCTGTTTTCTTTGAAAACATTTCGCTTCTCACCCAAGAAGTTTCTTCAGTCCAGTTCTACAGAACTGAAGGAGCTTCTTGGATGAGAAGCAAAATGTTTTCAAAGAAGAAGAAAAAAACAAGAAAGTCCAGTTGCCTTTTGGAAAAGCACTTTTGGGACAACCATGACCTGGATATTTAGTTATATCCAGTGTTATTTGTTTTATATTTTGCATTAATGAAAATATTTACATTGAAGCATTATACTTTGTTGTAAAACATAGATGAGAAGAACCATGAAGCTCAAAATAATGAGAAGGTTGCATTAATAAAATCCTGTTCAGGAAGCAATGACCGTCCACTATATACTGGTATGTAATTGTTAATTCAAAATAGCTTACTAACATTTACTATAAAATATGTCCAGAAGGGTAAGTAGTGCAAATGAAGTGAAGCTGTGCACATTTTTGCCATTTTTTAAAATAACTCAGATTTATTGGCATCTTATTTTCAGTTTAAAATTATTTTTGCTGACATATTGAACAATTCTCATTGTGGACTCCCCAGATAGTTAGAAGTGATGTTTGTTCATAAATTTGTATTTAAAACATATACTTCCTTTTTGTGTATCAATAGCTCACTGAAATCCAAATGGTATGGTATTGAATTGACAGGTTTTCAAAGATTTGGTTACCCTACTGTATTTCCTCAAAAATAAGATCCACCCTGAAAATAAGCCGGGAGGATGGGCATGGCCAGCACAAGAGGCAGTAAGCATGTCCGGGGCAAATACCATTAATACTGAAGAGAGAGAGAGAGAAATCCTCTTGGTTCCTGTCCTTTTCCATGTCTTTCCACTTTTCACTCAGTGTAAACGTGTGTGTGCGCGTGGGAGAAAAGTACAATTTGAAGGGTTGTCAGCAAATATACATACAATCAGTGAAAGATACAGCGATCACTGCATATTTTCAAGGCAGTGAGAAGACTCAGGAAGAGCTATGCTCCCCACCACACACACACAAAAACACACAAACATTTACACTTAGTGAAAAGACACCCCGTCCCAGGGCAACCACATCTCTTCATTAATCTGCTTTCCAGCTCCATTCTCCACGGCCATGTGCAGGACTATGGTAAAAAAAATAGTTAAACCTTCCATCTTCTTGAGATCAGGGGATGTGGCTACCTTGGGGTTGGGTATTGGATGAGGAGCCTGTGTGTGTGTGTGTGTGTGAAAGAGAGAGCACATCACTGCCAGCCCTGGATAACTCCGAGGTTGGATCATATCTCTCTCCCCCGCCTCTCTCTCACACACACATGCACAAACAGAGGCCCCTCACCCCATACCCAGGCAGCCACATTCCTTCACTAACCAGCTTTCATCTGTGGGACTACAGTAAAAAAAAAAATCAGATCTTCCAACTTTTCATGAAAAAAAATAACACCTTCCAGAAATTAGACCTGGTGCCTTTTTTGGTGGCCCCAAATATACAAGACCCAGTCTTATTTTCGGGCAAACATGGATATATAAAAACTTTGCCTGTTGTGCGTAGATCCCCTGAAACATACTTTTATTAACCAATGATCCTTTCGATTTGTTTTTTGCTCCTGTCTCACTCTCTCCCAAACATTCTTAACATGGTTATAATAGTAACAGCAATGCATGGTATGTATAAAAATGCAAGATTAATAATATAACAGAATTATTCAATAAAATGTATTTAAAACCTAGAAAAATGTCAAGATCTATGTTAGAGCCGATTGAGACCACTGCCATGTATATATCTCCAGATCATGAAAATCAGATGCAAATATATTTATATTATTCCTTTGTGTTAGTACATAAAATCATTAATACCAATTATTTTATAATAGATTATAATTTTTATAATGTCTAGCTGGTATGACTAATTTGGAAATATAGGCAAAACTTTACTAATGGAGAATAAAAATACCTTCAATTACCGTATATACTCGAGTATAAGTCGACCCGAATATAAGCCGAGGCACCTAATTTTACACAAAAAAAAACTGGGAAAACTTATTGACTCGAGCATAAGCCGAGGGTGGGAAATGCAGCAGCTACTGGTAAATTTCAAAAATAAAAATAATTTGGGAAACGATCTCACTATCTCACGTCGCCTCGGGAAGGGAAAGGCAAAGCGCTTTTTGCCTTTCCCTTCCCGGCTGGGG